CCGTCGTAATTAACGGGTTCTCTTCATCCCATACCGTCATCTCTTACATATCTACGACCTCATTTCCTGTATGATCAACCCAATCCACAACGTTGCTGATGACAACACTCTACATGCAGCAATTCAGAGCGAGAAGCCGGTCTCCGCCGGCGAGCTGGAAAAAAGGCTAACAGCGACTTCCTCTCTGATGAGAGACCTGGAGGTTATCACTGTTTGGGGACGCAACAATCTTGTACAGTTAAATGCTTCAGAAAACACAGTACTGTACCTTGACGAACAAAAAGTGCCGTAGCGTTTATCTGGTTTCAATGGATGGCCGAGTTCTTCCAAAGAGCCGTTCATCAAATGACCGAGGAGCTGATCTGACATGAGCACATCTGGTCAATAGCGACTGACTCCGGCCTCCCATATTAACCGTGTCGAACTTCGTACATCCAGGACTGGCCTATACGACCGCTCCTTTATCCCGAGGGTATCGAGATTGTGGAAAAATCTACAAGAAGAGGCTTTTCCCACTCTACTAACCTTAGGCAGTTCAAAAAATGGATTAACCAAATTTTTTTTGGGATCCTCATAGCAGGCTTCTGCCTGCGCGACTGCATTGGTGTAAAAGAAAGAGTTAATGTCATTCGTGCTCCAGCGGCTCGCAATCATATAAAATGTGTAAAGCTGCTTTCATGCAGTTGATCTCTCCACCATATAGCCCTATTTTATAATACAAAGTTGGAAGTTTTACGGAGTGTCATGAAAGAAATTACCAAACTATCTATTCGACATCATGAATACTTGAAAGTAAGAAATAAAAAAAAATACATTTAGCTGTACATAAAATGTACTGAAAATTTTAAAATATGTTTCCGATTGGAAATACACTAAGTGACATATAAATCCGAACACCCAGTTTAAATGGTTTTATTTTAATAAAATTTTGTATAAGTACTTAATGAAGCATAATAAGTAAATGATAAAAATTTCAAAATGATTGCACTGCTTTAAAGCCCTTTGACCTTTAATAATGTGTGGATGCACCCTGATGTGCTACGCATTCTTCAACGCGCCTAGGCATGCTTCTGATCAGGTGGTCAATGTCCTCCTGTGGTATATCATTCCAGGCAACCACCAACTCCTCTCGAAGTGCTTCTAGAGTCTGAGGAGGACGTTGCAAATTGAGCAATCTCCTACCCATCATATCCCACACGTACTCAATTGGGGATAAGTCGGGAGATCTTGGTGGCCATGGTAACAGTGTGACATCATTATGTTGAAAGAAGTCTATTGTGACTCTTGCAACATGTGGTCGGGCATTATCTTGTTGGAAAATTGGATCTGCCAGGGTGTCAAGATAGGGCAAAAGATGGGGTTCTAGAACTTCGTTCATGTTACCTCTGATGAAGATTAAAGGTGACCTGGAACCATAAGCTATAGCACCCCAAACCATAACTCCAACAGTGTGATGAACATGTCTTTCAACAAAAAACTATGGATTCCTCCTTTCACCACGTCGCCTTCTAACCCTGGCACGACCATCGTGCATGCCTAAACAAAATCGAGACTCGTCACTAAAGACAATACTGTTCCATTCCTGATCCCAGAGTGACCATTGTCTGCACCACTCAAGGCGATTACGTCGGTGTTCTTGAGTTAAAGGGAGGACCCAGTGTGGCCGGTATGAAAACAAGCCAAAACTTCTCATTCGTCGGTAAACACTTCGCATGCCAATAGGTCTTCCGTGTTCTGCAAACCATTCATTTGCAATGGACCTGGTAGTGGAGAAACGGTCCCTTAAGGCCAATAATCTTAGGCGGCGATCTTCACGGTCTGTTGTTCTACGGCGGCATCCAGTGCCCCTTGCTCTTTGCGTGCGGCCTTCTCGAAGCCATGCCTGACAACACCTAACCACAGTGTCTACACTTCTTTGCACTCTAACTGCAATTGCCCGAAAAGAAAGTCCAGCTTCCCGAAGTCCCACTATACGGCCCCTATCAAACTCACTAAGTTGACGAAATCGTACAGGTCTCCGTACTCTAGGCATCGTAACCGATCGTAAAGGATGTCAAGAACCAAAATCCGTCAAAGTTGATTCGATACTGCGGCTGAAATATTCATTTTTAGAGCGTTAGTGAATTAAAAAAAAGCAGTATAAAAACCGGAATGTCCAACTGATAAGGCTGAAAATTTTTCACTTGTTATTTACAGTAAGATAAATACATTCACCAACTTTTATTAAAATAAAACCATTTAAACTGGGTGTTCGGACTTATACGTCACTTAGTATATTTAAAAGCTCATTCATCTCAAGTTTTCAAATAACCGCTTGTGGTATATAACGGTACGTATACTTTTAACAAGTATTACTCAAAATAAACAACATACTAATACAAAGATAAGAGGATATTAACTGTATATAATTCATAGAAAAGAGAATCATGAAGTGCAAAACCTCATAATCGGTCTTTTGACGGGTTGATGGTATGTTTCGTTTAAGAATAAAATCTTCATGGTTAATAGTTAATCTTACTAATGGCAGCTATTTCTCCAATCACTTGTATAAGTTTTCTAGAAATTATTTTAGTAAACATTTTTAAGTAGAACTAAAGTTAAATAATACTTAATCTTACAAAGTGATTATTGTGCGCTTGTAAAGCAAACTTTTGGCTATGTTTCGTACTTTTTCAAATCAATAACAAAATGGGGGTCCGGTTTTGGACACTGCTCCTCTAATTACGATACTATTTCAACGCGACAATAATAGATATCGCGTCAGCAAGCTGTAAATATCGCAGATAGGTTACAAGAAAATGTATGCTTGTTCGTTTTTTGCTTTAGACCTTTTTAATCTAGAGAAAACTTTTTACATTACAGCTGAATGAACAAGAGTAGCCGTGTACAGGAATAAATTTGGTCCATAATTAGTTGTTAAGGAGATCAAAGGCATATTTTGCCGGAGGTTGAGAGCTTAAAGGCCCAAGGACCCCTTTTTTAAAAAAATAATTTAAGAGTAAACGAAACGTGTACCCTTAGTTGCTTTCAATCAAATTATCTTCTGGGGAGGCCTGTATTTAGCTTCATATCTTTTGCGTCAGAGAATCTGTCAAGCTTTTCAAATTGCGTATGTGAAAAGTAGGTCGAGCACAAAATGCTTCCTTTGTTTATACCATGGTATGCTACTTACTTGGAACATATTTTTATCTCTAGGTTATTCATAACTACGTTGCGACCCAGACATATTCTATTGCAGATTTGTATGGCATGTGCTGGAATCCGTTTCTTTGTTAGTTGGTAAACCCCATCATAGATATAAAGTTTGTTAAACCGAACATTATTTTTATGAACTAATAAATGCTTGGGAAGTAAAGAGTTAATCTACCTGATTCCAGTGTTAGAGCTCTTAGGTTAATGAGATGCTAGCAATTCCGATAATGTAATTCATGGAAGCAGTTCGTAAAGCCTCTACAACGAACTTTGCTTACCAACTTTTTACAAGGTCTAATTTAGGAACTCCGCTACTGTAAAATCTGCCTAGAAAACGGTTCATTGAATCTGCATCCATTTCATATTAAAAGTCAAGCTAGAATAGGCTGACGCTCAGCATTAAAATCCAAAAATCCTTTTAGATCTATAGTTTTTTTTACCAGCGTAATCGTATTAGTGGCTTTAATGCCAGGTCTCTTTTCTCGACTCCTACTGTAAGCCTTATTGCTTTGACAGATGGTGATGGTGGTAATGTCGCAGCGCAATAGCAGTCGGTTTTCTCCTTACAGAGTAGCCTATCACCACTTGCGTGTAGGGATGGAACGATTGTAACCGACTCAAAGGCTAAGACGGAAATGCTTGCCAAGATCTTTGCTGCCAACTCCACCCTGGACGTCCCCACAACGCCTGAGTACCCTGGGCTTCGTACTCTATGTGGGAAGTAACATTTAGGCATAAGACCATCGGACAGGTCATCTTGTAGCTTGACACAAACAAAACTTCTGGTTCGGACTTGATTCTTTATACAAGGTGACTTTGAAGTTGAGTCATTAATTTTCAGATAATGATTGTAGAAGGAAGATAAACCAAAATATGTGTGTAGAAATAAAAAAAAAAATAAAAAAAAATATTACCTTGTTTTATAAAGTATCCTCCCGACAAGTATTTCAGTGCGGAGCTGTATTTCATCGTGCGGTCTTGGAGCACCGGCATACCCTCCCACGTGAGGTCTTAAGTCACCTGATTCACGAGCCCTTTGTACTACATTCAGCATTTTCGTAAACATGTGCCATTTTTTATTTCGTTTGAGCCACGCAACAAACACCACTATTCACTCACGCGTTACCGGCTGACACATTGACTAAATACAACTGAATAAAATTGTACATTGTAGTAAAAACATCGTTTCAAATTCTTTCGCTTTTTTGTTTCCGATGCGATGAACGGATAAGGCGGATTATATCCGTTGTTGCCCACACGAGCACATAATATTATTATTGAGACAGGGCGGTACTCAAACTTCTAAAGGGCTATAACTTTGTTACTTTAATTTTACCAGAAAAATGTTAAAGGAAAAAAACATTTCTTTTGATCAGATCTACTCACTGTTAAAATAAATGACTCAACTTCGAAGAACCCTGTATATTTGGCAAGCACTATAGCCTGTCCTTTTTTTATTCCAAATGTGTATTTTAGTTTTTGTTGAAAATTTAAATTTTGAGAGCGATATATGAATGTGTTTAAGAGTTCGTCAGTTTGCAACATATGAAATTTAGAATGAGACCGGATTCATATGATTAAGTAACACAGAATTTTTAAACGATTAAATTAATAAAAATAAGTACATCCAGACCAATATATTTGGAATCAGAAAAAGTGACCACCATTTACAGAAAAATTCAAGTGTATTCGATATCAGTTTTCTGAGAGAAAAAGGTATACCTTTTTTATAGAGAGTCTTGGAGGTTGTACAGGTACAGTATGTTTTAAGCCCAATCTAATGTTGAGCTTCAACTTAAAAAAAAGTCCTACCTGGCAGAAAATATTTCGTTAGTCTCCCTTGGTAGGCTGAACTTCAAACTGGCCAATCTGTTACCTCTGACCTTGATGTCTGCCTTCACTGCACTATCTGTGAACATGTTGGCCTTCAGTTTGATACCAGTCCCTGCATAGAATGCGTCAACTGACATTTCTCCTGTCACGTCAACTGACACAGTCGGTTCTATTTCCGCAGACAGGTCCACCTAGAACCACAATATTTACGAAAACTTCCCAAAATGACTTTCGATCAAGGATGCGAGAATCAAATTTTATTTCCATAGAATGCCAAATTAATAAAAATAATAATAAAAGGCCTTTATTTACCTGGCAAATATTCAGCTTATTAGCTGCTTTACGATATCAACCAGGGCAAAAATTACAGAAATAGCTGATGGTATAAATATGTATAAGCAAAAATTGTGAAAATACTTCAACATCTGAAATATACTAAGTGACATATAAATCCGAACACCCAGTTTAAATGGTTTTATTTTAATAAAAGTTGGTGAATGTATTTATCTTACTGTAAGTAACAAGTGAAAAAATTTTCAGCCTTATCAGTTGGACATTCCGGTTTTTATACTGCTTTTTTTTAATTCACTAACGCTCTAAAAATGGATATTTCAGCCGCAGTAAAAAATCAACGTTGGCGGATTTTGGTTCTTGACATCCTTTACGATCGGTTACGATGCCTAGAGTACGAAGACCTGTACGATTTCGTCAACTTAGTGAGTTTGATAGGGGCCGTATAGTGGGACTTCGGGAAGCTGGACTTTCTTTTCGGGCAATTGCAGTTAGAGTGCATGAAGTGTAGACACTGCGGTTAGGTGTTGTCAGGCATGGCTTCGAGAAGACCGTACGCAAAGAGCAAGGGGCACTGGACGCCGCCGTAGAACAACAGACCGTGAAGATTGCCGCCTAAGATTATTGGCCTTAAGGGACCGTTTCTCCACTACCAGGTCCATTGCAAATGAATGGTTTGCAGAACACGAAAGACCTATTGGCATGCGAAGTGTTTACCGACGAATGAGAAGTTTTGGCTTGTTTTCATACCGGCCACACTGGGTCCTCCCTTTAACTCGAGAACACCGACGTAATCGCCTTGAGTGGTGCAGACAATGGTCACTGTGGGATCAGTGACGAGTCTTGATTTTGTTTAGACATGCACGATGGTCGTGCCAGGGTTAGAAGGCGACGTGGTGAAAGGAGGAATCCACAGTTTTTTGTTGAAAGACATGTTCATCACACTGTTGGAGCTATGGTTTGGGGTGCTATAGCTTATGGTTCCAGGTTCCCTTTAATCTTCATCAGATGTAACATGAACGCGCAGCGTTATATCCACGAAGTTCTAGAACCCCATCTTTTACCCTATCTTGACACCCTGGCAGATCCAACTTTCCAAAAAGATAATGCCCGACCACATGTTGCAAGAGTCACAATAGACTTCTTTCAACATAATGATGTCACATTGTTACCATGGCCACCAAGATCTCCCGACTTATCCCCAATTGAGCACGTGTGGGATATGATGGGTAGGAGATTGCTCAATTTGCAACGTCCTCCTCAGACTCTAGAAGCACTTCGAGAGGAGTTGGTGGTTGCCTGGAATGAGATACCACAGGAGGACATTGACCACCTGATCAGAAGCATGCCTAGGCGCGTTGGAGAATGCGTAGCACATCAGGGTGCATCCACACATTATTAAAGGTCAAAGGGCTTTAAAGCAGTGCAATCATTTTGCAATTTTTATCATTTACTTATTATGCTTCATTAAGTACTTATACAAAATTTTATTAAAATAAAAACATTTAAACTGGGTGTTCGGATTTATATGTCACTTAGTATACTATAACACTGTCCAAAAATCAAGAAAAAGTCTAGCAATCTAAGTACTGGACGCTAAACAGTACAGGAACATCCAATTAAATTGTTCCAAATCATCAGAAAAGATTGAAACAATCAATTTATAGATATTCTATCAATGACTGGAAATGAAGTAGTTAATTTCATTTCTTTAAGATTGTAATGATAGAGTCTTCAGACTAACTGGCACTTGCAGAAACAAAGTTTGAGAATCTGTGGATATGAAATTTGTTTCACGGGGACGAAGTATAGATACTGATACTCTTCTCTACATGAATATGACTTCCCTTGGGCGACTCAGGCTAGAATTTTACTTACTTCTGTTGCGCCAAATTGTAAATGACCACATTGATTGTCCCAACTGTTAGGAAAAATTTCACTTAATGTGAATGATAGAAGAACGCTACCTACTGATACTTTCTTTGTCCCCTTTCAGCAAGCAAATTAGCTTCAAGTGAACCCAACCCAACTAGTCTTCACATGTTAGGTAATAAATATACATATCGTCGGTCTCCGCACGTACCGGCGTAACTAACATTTTACAAATTTTACAGGAGAGCTAGAAAACGAAAATCAGCAATAAATGAGATTGAAAGTGACATACTGATTTTTCAGTCTGAACGTTGCTGTTTCTTTTTGTTAGACTAAAGTGATGTAGAACCAGTTTTAACGCAGAGGCGTAAATCTATTTAAGCCGGTACGTGAAAATTGTTTTCGGAATTTTATAACTTAGGCAATTTTCTGAAAATTTTAATTCTTAGCAGCGAACTGATATATAGCTACGTCACTTCGTGAAGTAAGAGACTACAAAAAAATCTGTGAAATTACGGCGTAATTCGATTTTAGATTATTTGTCATTTACACCTGTACGTGCGGAGACCGACGATATAATAATAAATAATAATAAATGCCTTTATTTCCAAACAGTTCTCAAAAAAAAAATAAAAATCAGAAAGAGAAACATGAGTATTAACCAAAAAAAATGAAAATATAAAAAATAAATAAAACAAATGTCGACTGTCTGAAAACCACAAGGGGGAGTTCACTATCTAGTGCTCTTCCACTCATCCCTTGAAATTGTAAGAAACATTATGCCAGTAAATACATCCATCAAGCATATACAAACATCAATATGAACAGCATGTAAGTTTTTAAAAAAAAATAAGATAGAAAAGTGAGAAATGTGGTAATAGATTTAAAAAAAAGAAAGTCTAGAATAATATATAGATATATATACCCATACATACCGCATAAACAAACGCCAATATGAGCGACAATTAAGTTTGAAAAAAAGAGCAAAGAGAAAACGTGGTGGTAAATGTAAAAATCTAGAATGATATACAAATACATATACGTACATTTATGCATCATATGAAAAAAAAATATAAATAAAATAATGGAATGCAAACAAAATAAAAGTGAAATTCCGCAGTAAGAATAATTCTACTTTATACATTCAAGGTAAGAATCACGCAAAACCGCTTTGAACTTGTGAATTTCATATGATTTGAGGTACTGGGGGATAGGATTGTATAGCTTATATATATATTATACGTAAATGATCTTTCATAAAATTTAGTTCAGTGGAATGGAGCGGTAATGTTTTGTTTCGAACGAATATTTACGGAATGGATGTCTTTTCTGAATGTTATTTTCTCGTAGAGGTAATGAGGCTGCCTGAGAGTTAAAATTTTATGATAAAAGCATATTGTGAATATCTCAAAACGAGCCTTCATATTTAGCCACCGGAGTTCTTCCAGCTTATGACTAACTCTTTCAAATTTTCTTATGCCATATATAAAACGTATGCAAATAAATACACTCTGATGACGTGAACCTCGCCAATAATGATCTTCTAAGCCCAGTAAATTTTGCAAATCTTCAAAGAATAGTCCAAAAAATCAGCTCCATAAATGTTTGCTCCAAGTTTAGGAAACATCCTGTATATCAATACAAATCTACCCATTAATCGTGTAAGCATTTTTGTCATACAATTCATTTTCCCCTGTAGATTGGCGCAGATACTTGAAGCGACAGCTCGGTATCTTCCCTTCACTTCATGCCAATGATTTGTTGGAAAGCGTCAATATTAGTAACTTACCTGAAGCTCCTTGTCTTTGGAAAATCCCGCAGATGCCAGAGAACCGTATAATTTGATGTTTATTGAGGCGGCCCCAGTGGCAGACAGTGAGAGAGGCAGTCCCGCAGAGCTCGGCACGACGTATTTGCTATCCAAAAACATCGCGGCTTTGCTGTAATTGATTTCCTGTTGAGAAAGTAATTAAATGAACAACCGTGCCAGATTTATGTTCCCAAGGAACCGGATAGATTGACCTCCTATCAGAGGATGCTGAGCTACCGTGCTGAGTTAATGCACCTTTCGCTACTCCAGTACGGATATAGCGCATCTTCGGCACTTTAGCTCGCCATGAAAATTGCGGTTCCGGATCTCCAGAGCCCACAGGGCAATTACAAGCATCATCTGATGCTAGAAAAGTTTGTCACAAATATGGTTTGCAAAGGAGCACAAATGACAACAAAAGTACTTATAATCAAGAGATTTTTGGCATATTTTAAAACAATATTTTAAAAAATTCGAAATTTCCAAAAAATTTTAAAAATTTATTTTTTAAAAATTTCCAAATCTTCCAATCTTTTCCAAGTTTCCGAACTTTACAATTATTTTACAAATTTTCAAATCCAATTCTTTTTCAATTTTAAAAATCTTCGAATTTCGATTCCAGAATAAATATATGAAAATCAAGTTTCCACGAAACTGACCTTGTAAGGATCATTGTCACAATCAACATGACGCCTCTCAACACCTTCCTACTAGATGTTTCAACGAAGTATTCATTTTAGTACACTGGTTCTCCGAGTTTTCTGTCTGAGAACGACAGTTGGCACATTCACCATTTTTTTAAATAATAATAATAATAAATGTCTTTATTAATCAGCATACATAAGTGAGGCGAAGTTTAGCCAAATGGCTACTCTTACACTTAACCTCACTGTGTACGAAAGAGTAACACAGTTAAACTCGATACACAAACAAACAATAGTAATAATAAGAAAAAGAAACAAATGCACACTTGAACTATTAATATAATAATAATAATAATAATAATAATAAAGTGTCATAAAAATAAAACAAACCAACAACTCAAACACTGAGAGACGATTGCATCTCCAATAGCTGTTTTCCAACTGATTTCTTAAAAGAGAGTAAACTTTCTTGTTTGTTAGCCGCACTGACTGAATTGTAAAGCTCAACAGCATTATACGTGAAAGATCTCTGATATAATGAGGTGTAGTGAAGAGGAATATTGAACTGTTCATCATGACGTAACCTTCTTGAAATTATATTCCTACGCGGAACTAACTTATTTCCAAGGTAAATAGGTCTCTTGGTAACGACTGTTTTATGTACAAAAACCAACATATGAAACTTGAAAAGATTATTGAGCTTCAGCCACCCCAGCTCACAGATCTTGGATGTAACATGGCTATACCTACGAAGGCCGAAAACAAAACGACAACAACAATTTTGAATTTTCTGCAATCTGGTTTTTGTTATGGAGTCAAGACAAGGATAAAACAGTATAAAACAGTAAAGCAGCTTAGACATAACTAAACTTTCCACCAATTTCTTTCTAGTCTTGAAATTGAGAATAGAACGATTGGAGTATAGAAGTCTTAGGCTTGCATATGTAGCTTTAGATATATTACTGACGTGGTGATGAAATCTAAGATTCACGTCTAAAGTAACACCTAGACTTTTGCATGCGTGACGAGTGGAATATGGTCATTATTTACCCTCAAATCAATCATCCTTTCAAAATGCTCATAGCTGGTTTTGGGACAGAACAACACCGCAAAACTCTTGGTAGGATTGAGCTTCAAACAGTTAGCCTTGCAATAGTCAGTTATATTTACCAGATCTAAATTTATTTTATACGAAGCTTGATCCACATTAGTAGAGTCAAAAGTGAAGGTCAATTGTGTATCGTCTGCGTAAGTATGAATACTACAAAACTGTAATACAGTATGCAAGTCAAAAGTATAAACTAAATATAGTAAAGGACCAAGCACGGAACCCTGAGGAACACCAGAAGCAACATCGGCACTAAGAGAAACTCCTTGGCTTGTTCTTATTCGTTGCTTGCGATTATTTAAGTATGATTTAAAAAAGCAAAGAGGAACGTCAGATAGTCCGTAGTATTTTAATTTGGATAGAAGTATTTCGTGGTTAACCGTATCAAATGCCTTTGAGAAATCTAACAACACCAGCACAGTGTAAATATGATTGTCTAAGTTAGAGATAATCTCATCAGTTACGTGTAATAATGCAGATGTTGTGCTGTGACCGCTACGGAAACCAGACTGACAATTTGGAAATATGTTGTACTCTTCAAAATATTTTACCAATTGCATATAAACAATTTTTTCCAATATCTTGACAAGGCACACAATATACTAATGGGTCTCAAATCCGAATATTCTGTAGGATTATTATTCTTAGCCAGAGGAGTTATAACAGCCTCTTTCCACAACTTGGAAATACTCCTTTTTTTAAACAAAAATTGACGATATGTGTTAGATGAGGTAACACTTCAGGAATACACAAATTGATCATTCCTATGTTAATTTCATCACAACCAGTTGCTTGAGATTTGATGGAAATTATAATATCTAAAACATCTTCTGGGGTAACTAAATGAAAGTGAAAGAGCGGAATGTCTGAATTAAAAGAACTTGAAATATATTCATCTACCGTACGATTTATAAGACGGGAATTAACATTATGGGATATAAAATTTGATATAAAATAATTGTTAACTTCGTCAGGATTGAGCAAGTGTGGGGGAATTTCTGCCTTATTTTTTTGGTAAGCTCCAAAATTTCTTAAGTGGTTCCAAAATTTTTTAGGGTTTGACTTTTCGAAATGAGCTAAATATGCTTTTTTCTCTCTTTTAAGTGCAGCAAGTGCGTGATTACGCAAAATTCTGTAGTTGATCCAATTTTCTTCAGTTGAATCATGTCGAAATTTGAGTAAAGCTTCATCTCTTTCCTTGAAAATACGTTTCAAGGTTGGGGTTAATCAAGGCGATGCATTTTTCGTTATACGCGCTTTACGAATAGGTGCATGTGTATCGAAAAGAGCAATTAAACTTTCAGTGAAAAATAAACCTTTTGATCGATATCATTAATATAAAAAATTTCATCCAATACATTAAGTCTGGCAAACTTTATCATACTGAATTTTTAGACAAATAAACTAGGATCTATTTTCTATATGTTTTGAGGCAGAAGCCCCCAGATATGTCTCTGGGCTTTTATCTGCACATTTGCAGTAACTAGAGGTCGACCGATACAGGATTTCTGCCGATATCTATTATCCGCCGATGCCGATATTTCATAAGCCGATATATAGGTGCCAAAGATATTTTTATTAGCACGCTTTTATTATTAATGTTCACCAATTTCAAGAAGTCTGATTAACTTAGAAATTTGCACATGGGTCAAGGGTCGATGAATGATAATATTGGAAAAAGTCGAACTTGAAAATTTGCAAAAAGTCTGTAGTAAATTTTGATATGAGGAAAAAATTGGATTTGAAAATTTGGAAAATAATTGGAGAATTCCGAAATTTGGAAGATGATTTGAAGATTTGGAAATTTTAAAAAATTTGGCAACTCGGAAAAATTTTGTAAATTTCGAACTTTGTAAAAATGTTATAGAGTAGGTATACCGAAATACGAAGCTCTTTATTATAAATACTCTTCTTGCCATCTGAGGCAAAAAATTGGAAAAAATTAAAATCGCGCTTTAATAGCAAATCGATCTAAAAAGTTGAAGATAATTTTCAACGAAAACCCATAATTGCGTTTTATGAAATGCAGTGTTCACAGTCCTGAGTGTTCTACTAGATTTTCTATATATAGCTGGCAACATCACGTGACATTTTAATGTAATTGTTTCCTCAAGGCATTACGATTGAAAATGCAAAAAATTTTCGACAAAATTTCTAAAAAAAAAAAGATAGGTAGTAGTATAGAAGTATACTAAGTGACATATAAACCCGAACACCCAGTTTAAATGGTTTTATTTTAATAAAAGTTGGTGAATGTATTTATCTTACTGTAAATAACAAGTGAAAAAATGTTTAGCCTTATCAGGTGGACATTCCGGTTTTTATACTGCTTTTCTTTAATTCACTAATGCTCTAAAAATGAATATTTCAGTCGCAGTAAAGAATCAACGTTGGCGGATTTTGGTTCTTGACATCCTTTACGATCGCGATGCCTAGAGTACGGAGACCTGTACGATTTAGTCAACTTAGTGAGTTTGATAGGGGCCGTATAGTGGGACTTCGGGAAGCTGGACTTTCTTTTCGGGCAATTGCAGTTAGAGTGCAAAGAAGTGTAGACACTGTGGTTAGGTGTTGTCAGGCATGGCTTCGAGAAGGCCGTACGCAAAGAGCAAGGGGGCACTGGACGCCGCCGTAGAACAACAGACCGTGAAGATCGCCGCCTAAGATTATTGGACCGTTTCTCCACTACCAGGTCCATTGCAAATGAATGGTTTGCAGAACACGGAAGACCTATTGACATGCGAAGTGTTTACCGACGAATGACAAGTTTTGGCTTGTTTTCATACCGGCCACACTGGGTAACTCGAGAACACCGACGAAATCGCCTTGAGTGGTGCAGACAATGGTCACTCTGGGATCAGGAATGGAACAGTATTGTCTTTAGTGTGAGTATCGATTTTGTTTAGGCATGCACGATGGTCGTGCCAGGGTTAGAATGCTCGTGGTGAAAGGAGAAATCCACAGTTTTTTGTTGAAAGACATGTTCATCACACTGTTGGAGTTATGGTTTGGGGTGCTATAGCTTATGGTTCCAGGTCACCTTTAATCTTCATCAGAGGTAACATGAACGCCCAGCGTTATACTCACGAAGTTCTAGAACCCCATCTTTTACCCTAGCTTGACGCTCTGGCAGATCCAACTTTCCAACAAGATAACGCCCGACCACATGTTGCAAGAGTCACAATGGACTTCTTTCAACATAATGATGTCACATTGTTACCATGGCCACCAAGATCTCCCGACTTATCTCCAATTGAGCACGTGTCGGATATGATGGGTAGGAGATTGCTCAATTTGCAACGTCCTCCTCAGACTCTAGAAGCACTTCGAGAGGAGTTGGTGGTTGCCTGGAATGAGATACCACAGGAGGACATTGACCACCTGATCAGAAGCATGCCTAGGCGCGTTGGAGATTGCGTAGCACATCAGGGTGTATCCACACATTATTAAAGGTCAAAGGGCTTTAAA